CCATATAGTCTCATCGTGGGGGTCCTCTTTGGGTGGAGCGGGGTCATCCGTGGTCGAAGAATCCTCTCTGAAGTGAAGGGGGGGCGGTTTAGGTGGTGCCCTCTGGGTCTGGTCCAGTGGCGGCTCGTCTGGTGGGGTCACGGTACTGGCGGTGGCCCATGATGTGTTCCACATAGATGTCACGGGACCAACGGATGGTGTCAGACACCATGTGGCAGCGCATCAGTTTGGCGTAGTGGCGGGAGACACGGCAGGTGCGCAGGACGCTCTTGTTGCTGGGGTCCCAGGCCCCAAATGTTCCCAAGATGAGCACGTTGACCATCATGTTGTAGCCGTGGCCCCTCAGGGTGTTGGCCAGTGAGGCGTACTTCTCCTGCTTGCGAGCCCGGGCGCTGGTGAAGGCTTGGCGCTGGTTCTCGAAGGGGATGGTGATGTCCACGATCATGACTTTCTTGGCCTCTTCATCGGTGATGACGATGTCGGGTCACATCTGGCTCTCGCAGCCCAGGACAGTGTGGTTCACAGAGATCTCCCCCACCGTGGCTGGGATGGCCCTCACCAGGTGGTCCTGGACAGCATTGTGGCAGAGCTGCCAGGCTCTGGCGTGTGGCTTGCAGCTGCACAGCACATGGGGGAGGGTCTCTGCTGCATAGCCACACCATCGGCACCTCTTATCCCAGTGGCTGAAGCGCACAGCCCTGTTCAGAGGCAGGCAGTTGAGGTGGGTGCAGTGGAGGAAGCGCCAGTCCACAAAGTGCGTGAAGCTCCCACTGGGCATGAAGTGGTTGCTAGCGTCGCACTTCAAAGTAATATTGAAGACCTTGGCCCAGTCAGGTTTGGCCCTCAGGTCGCTGGCGTACTTGTTTCGGATGGCGTCCTTCAGGAACCTCTCCAGGAAAATCCTTGTGTGGGGCGTCACAGTGATGCAGTCGGCGTGCGGGGCTGGTCTCTGGGTCCAACCTCAGAACCAATTTCCTAGCCATTGGACTGTGATGTAGCCAAGCCCACAGTTGGCCAATTTTTCCATGAGGAGATCAAGGGACACCAGATCGAAGACTTTTTTAAAGTCCAGGTATATTACCTAAAGTATCTTTATCCTGTCTGAATGTTGGGGGGCACAGGGGAGGAAATACCTTACTTCAAAACTATTCTAAAGACCAGATAACCTAGATCTCCCAAAGGGGCTAATTATGTCTCTGTTAATATAGAAAGTGCTTTAATTTTGCATATGCCCCATTATAAGGGTATGTTGACTGTGACTGCAGTGCAATGCAGGGAATCTTTAAGTAGCTAGAAGCGATCTAGCTGCAGTAAGCCCAGAGGCAGCAACTGTCAGCTTTGTAGGCAGGTTTTGTGGTTCATACTGAATTTCACGTTACTGTGGCTAGACTGTTACCAGTGTTGGAGCTAGCTATGTTAATGTTGACTTACTTGCATCTACACTACACTGAACTCATGTTAGTGACTACAGTGTAGACATACCCTGAGATCTTATTCCTCTTTATCCTTGGTCCTCCTTTTAGTGCAGTGTTGTAGTGCCTTGAGGCCCAAGAGATTTTCTGTTTTACAGAAATGCGTGATCTACTTGGTACATTTCAGTTAATCCCAGGAAAGTGATTTATTAGGAAAGGCAGGAATTTTAATGGTAAAACAATCAAACATGACAAGCTATTAGAAAATTATTCTTCCCAAACTAAGCACACAACAAACAAAATCAGCTTTATAAGTGTTTTTGTGTGTTCTCCTGTTTATCCTGTTCTGAGCATTATTAAAGTGAGCAGGTAACCTCAGAAAGCCCACCTATTGTTACAGCAAACACTGAACTTGCTAGCTGGAGACTCCTAGAGTGAAGCTTAATGTCAACTTTAGGAGGTTGAAGCCTGCCATCTAGTGACCAGCATCCGGATCTTAATTGCACTGAAGCAGAGACAGGAGTCTTGGAAAATTACCATAAAGGAAGTGAGACTGCAAGGATTTGGCATCAATTCTTCTTCAGGAAACTGTTATATATTGGTATGCAATGTCTCGCCCTGCTAGCTTTTGGTTAATAAATGATCTGCTCTTTCAAATCAGTTTCAGGGTTGAAAATTTAGGAAAAAGGACAAGAATGAATATAACAGAACCACCTGTTTCATCCAGAGCTAATCTCTGTTTTGAAACAGAACCTCTGGCAGCCGTATTACCTCAAACACAGACTAGCATGTGACAGTCCCCTTGAGAATAGCAGCATTACAATGAAATAATCTCAAAGCTGTAGCACCACTTCCATAAAAGGAGCATGGTGTTTGAAAGCCCAGAGTAATTGGTGGGTTAGGCAACATGGCCCTAAGCCAGGCCTCTGTCAGTACTTGTAAATACCATAGGTGATGCATAGGGAGGGTACGGGGGACCACGTGCTTCCCTGGAGATTGGCAGCCGCTGAAGCTGCCACAGGTTCTGCAGGCAGTTGCTGCTCGCCACCCTCCCCACCCCTTGCCCTTGCTGCTGACTCGCCTGCATCTGTGGGCGGTCCCTGGTTGCCACTCGCTGCTCCTCCTCCCCTCTCCCCCGCTGCTGACACTGCCACCAGTATCTGTGGGCATCCCCAGTTGCTGTTGCTGTTTGCCACCGACTCTGCCACCTATAAATGTCTCGGGAGGCACTGGTCGTTCATGGTAAATATGGTAGCTGGGAGGAGCTGTGGTCTGTCCCCAAACACAACAGCAGTAATGGATTTAACAGAACAAACAAAGCATCAAAATTGTTAGGTATCATATGTTTGGAGAACATAGTGGTATCTGGTAAATTTATTGGAACTGCTGTGTTAGGTTTCATATCTTAAAGAGATGAATTTTGCTTTTTTGATGGCCTCAACCTCAGCACAGAGCAGCAGCAATCCAGTCTTTTAAAGTAAGGCAGTATGGGAATTACCAATCCTTCCAGAGCCAAGAGAATTATCTAGCTAGATACATTTTAGGCTTTGGCCTCCTGACACTTGGCTAAGCTAAGATTTGGTTCAAAACAGCAGTGTACTTGTAATGGCATTTCTGACTAAAGCCACTTCATTTTCATTATGATTTTTTGTTCTTTATTCTAGGCCCATTACAAAAATCAGCATTTAAAAAATGTCATCCTTGGGATGGAGATAAAACAACATTGTAAAGGGGAAAGTTTTGTTTTCTATCTAATGCTTTTTTAATTTAGTGTTGCTTTATCTTTATTTAAGCTGTACTGCCCTTCCTGCTGCAACAACACCAGTGACTAAATGCCTTCATGTATGTCTTTCTACTTTGTTTACATCTTTTCTGACTCTTTTCCAATAGCTTCAAACGCAGGGATGGCCATCTTAGGGCCTTGTGGCACAGGACATTTAGCACATATTTATTTAGATCATAGCTTACTGTGCCATGTTAAAAGTTAGAACATGTTTTGAATAGTTGCATGGTAATGATTGCTACAATTTCTCAGCCTGCTCTGGATAGAGCTGGACCTGGCTCTCCCATCTGCCCCCTCCCCAAGCTGCCTTCAGCCCTCCAATTTTGTTTGTCCTGATATTCAACCTAAATTTTCTTTCTTTATCTCCTTCCATTATTTCTCATACATAATCTTTTGTCCTCTTTGGTGTCTAACTGTCTCCAACACCTGCAGAGAGGA